TCCATGTAAGCTATGGGACTGACGGAAAGGTCTGTCACCGCCCCGTTCTGCATGCTGCAGCGAAGTGTACCTCAGCATTTGTGGGATTAACAGTAGAGCTGATTTATGTAGTGGGTCTGGGTAAAATCAATTTATCATTCTTGGATTGATTTAATTTAAATTCACAGGGAATGAGGTACATTTTCCCCATGGCGCCTTTTGTGTGATGAAGCTGAAGTGTGTATCTATATTTTGTGTCACTCCTGGCTTGCCGTATGTTTACATCTTGTTGACGTTCAGCGCTAACGTTAGCTTCTGACAACAAGTTGTCTGAGGCAAAGCAAAAGAAACAAAGGAATCACTCACACAAACCACCAGTTGACTCTCCACAGGCTGAAACAGAGGTCATGGCGGCTTTTGTTTTTAAAGATTTACAATCGTACGCAGTGACAGAAAAAGCAGGCTTTGAGTTCAGGTGCTCGAACCAAAACATGTATGTAAACATCTGACAAACTGTCCCCACATATGAATGTGTGAAAGATAAATTTCTAACAAAATCGTTTAGTTTTGTTACAAATATTATTATTTTTAAACTTTAAGAAAATCTTAATGAAATTCAGTGATGGAATGTTTTGGATGCATCCTTTTTTTCTTTGTTTTAATAAGTTTTACTGAACATAACAGAAGGTAACAAACATTACAAATAATTTTCATACAGTCAAAGGGATGAGCAGAAGTATATTTATATTAGCCCAACTCTTCTCCTGGGACCTTATTCCATCACTTCTTATTCATCAAATAAATTATTCTTGATTTCTTAAAAATTAATGTATCCAACAACACTGTCACCCGTAATTCCTTTTTAATTTAAAACCTTTGAAACTTGACAGTTTTGTTTCCAGATTAAACTCCAATTCACAAGTTTGCCCTTAAAACTTGTTGCTTATGGTGAAGAAAAAAATTAAGTGTATTTGTATTTTGCAACACCAGCTGAACTATTTTCATTATTCAAATCAAATCGAACCGTGATCGAGTCAGAACCTTATGAATCAAAATCGGATTTAGAGAATTAACCACTATACACAGCACTAGTATGTGGGTTGAACTTTTGAAAAACTTGCCAAATCTAATCTATCAATTTTACTGTTATCAACTCTTGTTTAGAGCTTCTGCTAACCCCAGGTGTTGCCAATCAGGTGCTCGGTATAAGATTTATTGCCAAGAAGCATTGGGCCTCATGCAAGAACCGTTCGTACGCACAGATTTGTTCTTAAGTTGTGCGTACG